GCTTCAGTCTTAAATAATATTTCACCTCGTACAAAAGTACTCCATATGACCAAACATCGCTTTTCTTCGAAAACTGCGGATTTCTGACTAGCGTTTCAGGCGCCATCCATCTAAATGCATGAAATTAAAGTACAGTTAAAATAAGTAATAGCAATACCTTAATTACTGCTAAGGCACAGCATTGCTGAAGAGTCCCAGGAAAAACCGTCTCAAAACTTATCATTTTTTATATGAAACTTACAAAACAATTTTAAGGGCTCGGCCCCTCATTCTCTTGCAGTTATGAAACAAAATGTTTTTACTTTTTCTCTTTCTTATTGCAGCCAGCGCTAATTTGGGATAACTGGCGATGATAGTTATCGTGTTCACCTGGAACCAACAGCAAATCCAGACTTACAAAAAAGCTAAATCGCCCATGCAGTACCAGCGATGCCTTTAACTTTTGTAGAGAGGCCTTCAAAGAATTTGATTTGGTGATTAAGTCAACAATCAGCTTATAATTTTCACCTCACTGGTATATCAGTTATTTCGCATTCATCGTCTTTTTCAAGTGCATCAGTTCGGCTGAGACCAAAATCCGAAATTTTGATTATGCCATCCGCCGCAATGAGGCAATTGCGTGCTGCCAGATCCCGGTGAAGACATCCTTGCATATGGAGATACCGCATACCCAGCGATGCCTGAAAATCAAAAGGTGCTTCTTGGAACAAATTTCTTTAGGCGAGTATTTTTGGAATGGTTGCATTCGAAGATGTATAACTTACGGTCAGCATTCGCTGGGGGTTGTTTAAGAAACGAATGTAAAATGGTGTTTTTTATAGGATTTTCACACATGGAATACTTTTTTGAAGAAGATTGGGCTGGAAAGGAATCGAACCACTCGTCTTCACGTCTGCATCCGACGTGTTAAACCACTGCACGATCGGCCACTGTGTTTCACCCACCCCCTAGAGCAACTACATTCTGTATGAATTCATCCCCACACGTAATTTGCATCATCTGCCTTCTGTACAGTGTGGTCTACCCTTCCAAAAATTGCCGGCTTTTCGCAGGACTTCCGCGACAAGGTTGCCTTGCTCATCAATGCAAGTTTCTCGAATAACTTATTCCGCTCTTCCAAGATCGATGTTAGTCATTTGTTAGCTGTCCTGCGAAATTGTTTCATTTACTGCCTTGTCGCGGAAGGACAGAGTTCCAGACTATAAATTAATAGCCGTTTCAGGTATATCAAATAAACGTTGCTACCGCAGATGGAAACAGAAATCACTGTAGCTAGACGGAAGGCTTGGAACTACTAACAATTTGTGGATCCCGGGATATACTCCTCTCAGCTGGGATCTATAGTCTATTACCTCAGCCATACAACTGGTAACTTTTCCAGTTGCCTTGAGCAATTTTGCATCACCTAGCGGTCAGCAAACTTCTATTATTGTTTTTTTTATTCCTATTTTTTCATTGAGATATAATGAAAAAAAAAATTTGGCTTATGGGCCGCTAATCGTAAAGATGCCTTGAAAATGCAACAGAGCCACAAATTATTACCGAATCAGGACAAAACAGCGTGAAATGGGTTCACTCAGCGAGCAGAAATGGTTTGAATGCGCCGTATCACGTTAATGAAATTAAAATTTTCATTACATATGGGCATTACATTTAGCTATAGAAAATGATTAATAGTAACCGGAAACGCGTAACTTGGATGTGTTGTCGCCTCTTGTAACTAACAAAAATCTTCCAGAATGGCAAATCTGGTAATCCCGTTGGAATTTATCACCCAAAAATAATTTCGAACGTCTCGTAATAATTAATTGTTTTTTGCTTGAAATTTTACACATCAAATATTTTACACATGCTTTTTGTCTTTATTATTTTTT